ACCCACTTCTTCAGGGAGGTGTGCCCACGTCGGCACGCTAACGCTACCATGCTAACGCTACCATGCTAACGCTACCATGCTAACGCTCACGCTACCTCAAATATTATAATGAGCTAGAGCTAATGACGTCAGAAACCACCCACTCCTGAAACCTCCTGATTTATCTCCTGGATTCAGACTGAGGCGGCCCACAAAAACATGACCGAGTCATTTTTTTTCACACTTTGCCTGCTGATAGGCCGTCCACAGTCCCAAATGTAAACAATCAAATGATTAAAAACTTGGTTTTGCATAATGTCCCCTTTAAAATAGACCCTGTCATCGTTTCTCACATCGTTTCTAATTTATCGCCTATTATCCAAACCACTTTCCAGTCCTTAGACAGACCAAAATGAAGCTTTTTGCCGACCCAAAGAAAGAGAAGAGTCATTTCGGTTCCCCCTCCAGTGTCTGAACTCACATGTTGTGCGAAAAGGCACGGCTATCTTCCCCTGGATGCTGTTCACCAGGACCAGGTGTCCGCTTCTCCTGGAGATCATGGAGGGCAGCACCCCTGAAAAATAGAGAGAGAGCCACTTCGTCACATCCTGCCCATCGGAGAAAACTCCGCCCTCCCCCATCCCGGGAAAGGGAATTAAATTAATTATTTTATTTAGTTCATTTTTTTTGCCAACTCCAGGCCCAACGCACAATTACAGCACATTTTTTTGTACAGAATGTTGCAGAGAAAAAACAGAATGGAAAAAAAAATGGTCGCTACTGCTAAAGAAAGAGCAGATTTGTTTACAAGGAGAAGGGGAACAACAGAAAATTCTGCCACCTTTGGCCAGCGTGACGGGCCCAAAGTAGTTGTTGTCCATCAGGAGTTTGTCCACCTCCAGAGACAGGCTCTGGGCGGGGGCTCTGGCCTTCATGCTGCTGTTGAAGATGAGCACGTCCAGACAGCCGTAGCAGTCCAGGATCTCTGCGATGGCCTCGGGCATGCTGTCCAGATCCCCAAAGTCCAGCAGGACCAGCTTAGGGGGGAAAGTCTGAGAGGAAAGAACACAGTCAAAGCAGAAAAAGAGGTCTAAAAATCTGTCTTTGGGGTTCGATTCCGCCCTGATATCCCTTCAACAAAGATCCTCATCTGAATTCTAGCATCCTTCTGTAAGGATTTGGCTAAAAAATACTCACTTTAGCATAGCATGCTATCACATGATCTATGTAGATTACTGATTGTTTTATTTTCTTTTATAGCTATATTTTGTGTTGACGTCTCTGGTTGTGCCCATAGACTCTTTCCTCTCCCCTTTCCTTTCTCTCTTTTCTTTCTCTGTTGCATTAGATACACGTCTTTAAGTCAACACAAACACACATCATTTGGTACCATATTCCAACGTCATCAACATGAATTAGGACCCGGCTTGTTAGTCTTAGAGGTAACTAATCAATAGGAGTTGGTTGTATCCAGTCCTCCTTTTGAGGGGTGTGCCCAGGTCAGGAGATAATGCCCATATCTCAGGGCTCTTTGCCCGCTGAAATACTCTACCTGTGACCCAATAAATGTCAATTTTTTACTGTTGATCTACTGTGGCTTATTCTCAGGATTCCAATGAAAGAATCGGATTAACACTTCCATCACCTTCCGGTCCATTTCTGAAGTAGATTTCAATCTTATTGAAGAGTTTCAGGGTTTTTTATGAAATTCTGCTTCTTTATTTTCCCCAAGTGTAGCACTCAGATAAAAAAGTCCAGACTCAAAAGTAGAGGAGAATCCTTTTTCTGTCCCAATCTCTGGAGCAACTTACCAGAAGAATAAAAACAGCTCAGAATAACTCTACTTTTGTTCTTTCTGGCCTTAAACTGATGTTGAAGCGGATGTTTTAAGTCCCTTTGGTGTGACGATATGCCATTTTATTTGGACTTTGGTTACAATCGGTTGTTTTTAAATTTGGTAAATAAGTTAACCTGTAGTTAATTATTATTGTGATTAAGAGCAGAGATGCGGTTATACTTTGATAAATGGCTGCCATGACAGAATGATTGAAACAGGACCTCTAACAATAACCTTTGTCATCTTTTTTCATATTTACTGACATTAATAAATGAATAGATTAACACTTTAACACCATGTGATTCTGTTTATTTGACACTTACTGCTGTTGGATCGGAGACGTTTGCCAACTCATCTGCCAGCTCCTCCAGCTTCTCCCAGCTTTTCCCACAGAGGATGAGTCTGGCTCCTCCCTTGTGAAAGACGCCGGAGCATTCTGCAAACAGGCCCCAGAGCTGAGAGGTCACCAAACCTGCTCCAGTTTCCCCAAAAAACCACGCCGGCTCACCTTTCCCCAGCCCAGACAGGGCGTCCGTTACCACCACCACCTTGTTGCGTACAGAGGTTTTGGACACCAGATTGACGATGGCTCCGTAGAGGTAGAAAAATCCTGCTGTCAGAACAACTACACAGGGCACCAGGAGGACAGTCGTCCATGTTGGGTCCATGTTCTGCCAAGAAATATGCCAAAAAATCGTTAGACTATTTGCAGTTAAGCAAGTAAGAGACTCAGGCCAGGCATGTTTGATGATGTATGTAAAAAATATCAAACAAAAAATGATCCAAACCAACATTTCACAGATGGAAGCTTAGCATTAGCTTAGCATTAGCATTAGCATTAGCATTAGCATTAGCATAGCATAGAATAGCTTAGCTTAGATCAAGTGGCAGAGTTAAATTGGCTAAAATCAATTCACAAGCATACTTAAAGCTCACAAATCAAAATGTTTTTTAGCTTTTACAAAATCTATAAAAACAGATTACGTTTTAAGGTATAGGTAAAATTTGTTACTGTTTCTTGACTTTGGGTAAAGCTAAACAGGGAGCAGAAAAACTAAACCATTCATTAAAAAAAAACACTTTAAAAATGTCCGTGTTTAAGTTATCATCATGGAAGTTGTGGTTAGTCGACAGATTCTTGAGTTAAAGTATGTTTCGGGTGGTAAACATACTTTGTGGAGAGAAAATTAAGTTGATTTTGGAGATGCAGATGGATGAGATGGGATGTAAAAACTATTTGTTTCTACTTAATAAATGTCTCATACCCACAGGCTCTCCGGCTCTGTTTCATTGGTATCCATCTTATCCCCTACAACCTTGTTCTATCTAACTATGACTTCTTATTATTCTGAAACAAAGACGGAGAAGGAAATTCAAAAGTTAAATAAAGAGCGAATGGCACTTGAATTATGTGTACCTTCATGTTTATATACTCAGTGTTTGGATACTACAGCTTCCTGGGAAATGATCAGGACACAAACTTATTAAAAATAAATTAATAAATAAAGACACAAGCTCAAAAAGCAAAACTACAGAAAAACTAACAAGCAAACCGCAAAATCAAAATTGTGACGAAGAAATCTGCCAGAAAATTACTAATAAATAAATGGACCAAAAAACAATACAAAAGACCACAAATATACAGCAAAAGACTAAAAATGCATAAAAAGCGCAAAAACATCTTCATATACATTTTTAATGAATGAAGAAATATCTGCCAGACCCAAAATTATCTCATAGAAATGAAAGTGTTGCAAAAATAATACAAAAATACATCAAACAGATAGACTGAACATTTATGATAAATAGATAAATAACATGATAAAACCATAAATAAATCTTAAGATAATGGAAAATATAATAAAGACAGAAATGTTTTTAAAGTAAAACTAGTACAAAGTTTATTTTGGGCTTCGGGTGGTGCTGATAAACCACAAGACCTTTCGGCTGAGTTCATGTTCGGTCAATCCACCAACATCATTGTTTTTATCCTGACTGTGCCAGCTTTCTGTCATTCGAGTGTAAAAACCAGCACTCATACACAGCGCCAAGTGAGAGATAACCTTTTGGTTTAGGTTTACCATGCCAAGCACTGGCTGTTTGTCCAAGAAGAGGCTTCTAAATATAAACCACCACTAAAATAGAGGCAGCGGCTCTCAATGACACAGTGTCATTTTTAACAAGAACCGGCAGATTAAACAGAACAGATATTTAAAAAAGAGCCACATTTAAGCGGAACGTCGTGATAAATTAATCATCAGGCACCACTTACTGCTTCCCAGGCCTCTGCAGGTAGTGTGCTGTAATTCCTCTCCTGAGGAGAAGTGGCTGCACGCCTCAGCAGAGCTGCTGCGACATGACAGCCAGCCAGCTCTCAGCAGCAATACTTTAGGATTTGAGGTCTTTTAATAGCAGCACAGCTGAGTCGGTTATTTTCCATGTGTGTTGTCAAGGAGGTATGTATAGCCTGACAAACCGGGACTAAGAGGAGAGGGGCTTAATTCAAACACAACGTTCTTCTATGTCCACATGTAGAATATTCCTATAAGTGAATGCAAGTGTCCATTTGAAATTATAATAGTTTTAAATATCAAAAATGGCAATGTGATAAACACGTATTGTTCATAAATTGGAGAAACATGGCACTAAATCCAGTTAAAGGTTTTATATTGCCACGGATGTTTTTAAACAAATACTTCACACATATTGGAGATGGGACTTGAGACACAAACTTTCTGTTGTCGATGAAGACTTGTTTTGTGCTAAGCGGCAGACAGTAATGACAATATTCCTCCAATTTTCAAGCATGCTCTTTATTCTGATTTAAAATTATATATTTAGTTTAGTTAATGTTTTGTAACCAAGTTTCTTCTTTATTGTTATTATGTTTTTTCACAATAACAATAAAGAAGAAAAAAAAACGGGGAAAAAAACTTGGCTACAAAACATTAAAAAAAAAAATTCTCTTTTATTATGAAGAACCAAGCGGAAGTGGTTTGTTCGTTTTGACCGGGTGAAGGTTTTACTGTGAAGGGCTGACCGGATGTGGAATGTTGGTTTTGACGGCGGTTGGTTTTCACTGACATAGCTGACAGTTCGCATCATCCTTCCCGGACCGGACTCCTCAGAGCCGCTGGAAAAGAAAAAAAAAACAAAAAAAAAACACGGCCGTGATTCCGATATAATGTCTGATTTCGAAGAGTTTGAGAAGCAGCTGAGCGAGAACCGACAAGGTGAGTGTCCGTCCGCTACCTGTCTGTGCCCCGGTTCGGTGCGCAAGCTAGCAGGCGACCGTTGGTGTGAAACCGTTAGCCCGTGAAACGGTTTTTTTTTAATGAATGGATAACCCCAACGTGACGGGACGCTTTCTCTGGCCGTGACTCAGCGTGTTTACCCGGTCTGTGTTGACGTGTTTGACAGCTCTGGAGGAGGGCGGGAAACCGGCGTGTTTCCGTTCAGCCGCGCGAGACGGCAGGATGCGAAATCTCCTCGTGACGATGTCTCGTTATCAATGGACATGTCATCGATCACCTCACTTTGTGACCTCATCAAATAAAGCCACGCATTGGATTATTAAAACAGAGGCGATTTAAAAAAAAAGAAAAAAAAGAAAGCTGTTATTTATATGTGTTTTACAAAAACGATCGCGTCCAACTATTTTAATATTTGCCATCATTATAACTAACTAACTAACTAAAAAAAAAAAAAAAAATACACTTAGATTTACAAAAACTATTCGAGCAAGTTTGCTTCAACCCTCAATACATAGATCTGTGACACCTATTGCTTCCTAAAATAGTAGTAGTAATACTGGGAGTATAGAATGATTCATTTTTATACAAAATGTTCAGAAAATCTGAAAATTTTGAGGTTATTCGTTTTTAAATAATTTAGTTAGTACTTAAGAAAATCAACATTTGTATCCTGGGTTAAACATTGGAAAATAAATAGATACATTATATATATATATGTATAAATGGATATATATGAATACTAAGGACCTGTTTGTGTAATTGTTTGTGTTGTTGGTCTTTGTGTGGCCCGTTGAATTTGACTCATATCAATTATTAAAACCCTCTGATTTGGGGGAGGAAACACATGGACTGCTGACCTGTCCAGGGTACCCCGCCTCCCACCCCGGGACATCTGGGACTGGCTCCAGACCCACTCTAGGAATTACCCACATACATTTATGCAACATCCAAAGTGACGTCACAGGACATGGCTTACAGACACGTGCACAGTTTGTGCCATGTTGGTTATGAAGAAATAAAAAAATAGAAGTAAGCCATATTCAACAACAAGCTCACAGAACAAATCCAGACTAAATAGATGTGATTTGATGATTACAATATACTTACAGTGTCCAGTAATTGAAAGGACATAAAGCTCATGATAGAGATAATATTTAACAGGTAAGGAGTAACATGTATCATACAAAATGCAAAAAAAAACACCTGAAAGTTTTCTGTGGGGGAATTCTATATATCTATGATCATTTTCTTTTCTATTCTATTTCTTTTCTATTTTATTCTCTCTGGTAACTTTCCACAAGTGAATATGTTAAAGGTTCTTTTTCTTTCTCATTGGACTCATTCCTCCTTCTAGGTCTCAGAGAGGGTCTCCTCAAACTTCGTTTGTTTGGTACAGGTGCAGGTTACTCTATGATGGGACATGGATTTTACCCCCCTTCTCAAGCTCAGAGAGGGTTTTAAAATGTACTATGATTTTGTTTTACTTTGGAGCAGCTTAAAACGTTGCATGGCACGTGCTGGTTGCTCTCACTTCATGAAGTTTTCCCTTTAATACATTTTCTATCTCTTACTCTCTTAAACGAACTCAGACTCTTGCTTCAGAATTTTCACAACAGTCCAAATAAACCCAAGTTTTCCCCCTCCTTTTTTAAATTAAATCATCATGTTGCTTTCAGGGCATCCCTGTACTGGTTCATAACCTTTTGTCACACGTCCAGATGTGGAGCCGCCCCACATCTCTCTGTCTGACCTTTCCTTTTGTCTCAGAGCGGGAGCGGGAGCGGCACAAAAAGCGGAGTCGCAGCGGCTCGCCGCCCGCCCGCGCAGACAAGCACCGCAGCCGGGAGAAACGCAGCCGCAGCCGGGACCGGAAGAGCCGGGACCGCCGCAGCTGCTCCCGGGACCACAAGAAGCACAGGTGACCAGCGGGGGTCCGGCGGGGCCTCTCAGGCCTCCATTAGATGGAATTACCCTCACAAATTCAATTAAATTCAATTCAATTTTATTTATATAGCGCCACATCACAACAACAGGTGTTTCACAGCGCTTTCCAAACAGAGCAGGTCAGACCCTACTCTGAAGTTAAATACAGAAACCCAACAATTCCCAAATATCCTCACACTGGGGAATTTCTGAGAAGGAGAGTTTTGATCTAATAGATTTTTTTGGTGAAACTGTGAAATGTCACTGTTGTAGCAGCAGGTAAACATGAAAAAAGAAAAAAAAATTCAAGTTTTTTAGAAAATTCCCAAACAAATAGTTACCATAATATGCTGCTATTGATTTAAAAGATGTCAGAAAGCTATGAGAAGACACGTCTTGTTTCTGGAAGCAGCCTGAAGTCCTCAGATTATTTGTTTAGTGTGAGAAAGCAAAGACAAACAGCAGATCATCACAGCTCCTCTGAGTTGTTATTCTGGTCTTTTTTAAAGCAGTTTAATTTCGCGGCGGCAGTTTCAAAGGTTGGTTTAAATGATAACTTGGGTCACGTAGCCATAGCAACAAAAAGGGGTGAGTGGCTCAGAAGTTTGTCTCTTCTCTGCCTGAAGCCGCTCTCCCAGGCGCACCAGGAAGAAACGGACCTGCAAGTACTGGGACGTTCCTCCGCCCGGCTTTGAGCACATCACACCGATGCAGTACAAAGCTATGCAAGGTACCGGCCTCCTTCAGACCTCCTCCCATTAGACCTCCTCTCCACCAGGCCTCCTATCAGACCTCCTCCCATCAGACCTCCTCCCTTCAGACCTCCTCCCATCAGACCTCCTCCCACCAGACCTCCTCCCACCAGACCTCCTCCCATCAGACCTCCTCAGTGTCAGACTTTCTCCTATCAGACCTCCTCCCATCAGACCTCCTCCCATCAGACCTCCTAACTGTCAGAACTCCTGCTATCAGACCTCCTCCCTGTCTGACCTCCTCCCATCAGACCTCCTCCCATCAGACCTCATCCTATCTGACCTCCTCCCGACAAACCTCCTCAGTGTCTGACCTCCTCCCATCAGACCTTCTAACCATCAGACCTCCTCCCATCAGACCTCCTCCCATCAGACCTCCCATCAGACCTCCTCCCATCAGACCTCCCATCAGACCTCCCATCAGACCTCCTAACTGTCAGACCTCCTTCAAACCTCCTCTCTACCAGGCCTCCTTCGGACCTCCTAACTGTCAGACCTCCCATCGGACCTCCTCCCTGTCAGTCTTCCTCCCATCAGACCTCCTCCTTTACAGCTCTCTCTCTTCCTCCCGTTCCCCAGCGGCCGGTCAGATCCCGACGATAGCCCTGCTGGCCTCGTCCACCACCACCGGAGTGGCCGCCGCCCCGACCCAAGTGCCCATCGTGGGGAGTCAGATGACCAGACAAGCCCGACGCCTCTACGTGGGAAACATCCCCTTTGGGGTCACCGAGGTGAACATGGAGGCGAGCAGGGATGGGGATCGTTAATATTTATCGATATCGATACCTTTATCGATAATCCTGATCGATCCGAGTCTTTATCGATACCACTATCGATACTTTTTTGTTATTTGGTGGAAAGACGATGCAACAATATTTAGCAAATAAATAATTTTATTTTAAATTAAATGTAATTTTTAATAAATGTTGGCGTCAGTAGTTAAATTATATATTCTAAAATAATTAGAGCAATATACAACTGTATTACTCATGTTTCTCGCCAAAAACTCAATTTCCCTTTTCCTAACGTCACAGTTGAACACATCACGATAACCTAATTGTCGTTTTACTGAGCCAATCTGAACACGTCTGAAACTTTATTTACTTTTCAAGCTAACTAGCTTGTATGCTGCCGATTACAACACGGATTTCACAATTACTATTGTAATAATAAAAAAAAAACGACCAGACTCGATAGTGGTATCGATAAGCCCAAACAGTATTGATTTTCGCTCAGGCTGCTGCCTCCGGTCACTCTGAGGGTCTCCGTCTGTGCAGGAGTCCATGGCAGAGTTTTTCAACGCCCAGATGCGCCTGGCCGGCCTCTCACAGGCCCCGAGCAACCCCGTCCTCGCCGTGCAGATCAACCAGGACAAGAACTTTGCTTTCCTAGAGGTGTGTGTTTTTAATATCCCACCACGTTCAAATAGAAAAGTCAGAATCTCCGTGGAGATCAAAGGTCAAAGGGGGAAGTCTGGTGCTTTGATCAGGTTTTAAAACATGGTCGGAGATGTTTTTCAGGGATCTTTGATGAACTCCAGTTTCATCAGAGCTCCTGCTGCAGCATTTTGGATCTGCTTGAGACTAGGCTTGTCCCGATCCAACATCTGGATCAGATCAGCCGCCGATATTCGCAAAAAACTGCGTATCGGCCGGCAGGAGAAAACCGATCCAGACTGCCGATCCATTAGAATTAGCACTAGCATCTCCTAACCCACAGGTCTGTGTCCTAACCATTAAGTTTTTATCAGAGTAAATCCCTGTTCAACATGAGTCTGACAACTAAGTAAGTAGATAAATAACTTTAAACTTGAATACATGCTCTGATAGACCAGGATCGGTATCCCATCGAAAGTGAAAAAAGCTGGGTCGGGACATCCCTTCTTGAGACTTTGGTTCAGAGCACTAATAAAGAATTACAGCAGTCCTGAAGGAACAAATGCACAAAGCCTTTTCTCTGCATCCCTCTTAGACAGGATGCTCCTCCTTCTGGAGGCTTTTTGAAAGGGGAAAGAAGGCAGTCCTAGAGACGTAGCGACCCGTGTGGCAGTGGTTGCAAACGGGCCTCTCCCCCCTTTGCTGTCCAGTTCCGCTCTGTGGACGAGACCACGCAGGCCATGGCCTTCGACGGGATCATCTTCCAGGGCCAGTCGCTGAAGATCCGGCGCCCTCACGACTACCGGCCTCTGCCTGGCATTTCCGAGCAGCCGGCTTTCCACGTCCCGGGTTTGTGTCCGCCTCCTTTTTCTGCTCCCTGAATAACTAAATTCGATCGCGTGATTTTAATTCCTTTTCTCTGCTTGTTGATGGGTAGGCGTTGTCTCCACAGTGGTGCCAGATTCCCCCCATAAGCTCTTCATCGGAGGCCTGCCCAACTACCTTAACGATGACCAGGTATTGACCAGACACCAGACTAACTGTCCATGCTCTCAGGCTCCCTCACTTTTCTCTCAAAGGCTACGTTTTTTTGACACACCGAAAACTAGCCCAGAATTTGGTTTAGACTCTTTTTTTAAAAATAAAAACAAACGTGTGATAAGGCTTCCTTTAGGAGTCAAAACAGCTGAATTAAAGTGTGTCGTAGACTGCAAAAGGATGGAGTGTTTGAGCAATAACAAGCAAAGAATAACAACAAAGGAAAAAAAAGAACTGGATATCTTTAGGTCTTTGATTTAAATCAGTTGCTCATTAATCATATTTGAATATTCAGTGGTTATACCTTTCTCATGCTAAGCGTACTGATTTAAGAAAGGTAAGCAAAGTCTAGTATATTTTCATGAAAACCAGACAAAGTGACATGGAGTTCTTTCTGTTTTAAAGAAAAAGTCCACCGTAAGAAACTGTGAAGGAATAATGTTTTTGACTGGTAATTGTTGTTGCTTAAAACCTCAGGAACCTTTATATGCAGGTTTAATGAATAAAACTAATTACCAGAAGCCTGTAGGAAAGCTTTGTTTACCAGTGAAAGCCAAAGGTGGACTTTTCCTTTGAGAAAGAGTGAATATTTTCTCTGAGTTTACTCTCAGGTGGTAAATTATCATTAATTCTAACTGTCCATTCTGTCTCGTGGTTAACAGAGCACAAGCAGCCTGTTGTCTGTTATTCACTGACTCGTTTCTATGAATACTTAGTCACTTCCACTGCGTTGATACTCACAGCTCTTTCATTTTTGTCCCCCCACTTTGTCCCCAGCTAGGGGCCAGTAAGATCGTTAAGTCTGCGCTCATAATTTGTTCAGTAGTACTCATCTACTGCTGCCATGCCAACATGTAACACAAGGCAAGTAAGACATTCTGGTCCACACACGGATACACTGCGGGCCGGCAGGCTCCCTTTCTGGCTGCTTTCTCTCTCCCATCATGCTTTTCAAGCGCGCTTAGGACCCGGGCAGCTGCCGGGAAGGACAGCTGATCTGAGGGGATTAATGCAGGGGAAGCTTATTTAAGCTTTGATGTCGAGGTGAGAAGATGATGTGTTGACCTGCCGTTAGGTGGAATACAGCACAAAAACACCAACTTTAAACCTTTTTAAACTCCATTTACTGCACAGCCTGTCTTCCAAATATCTCGATTATCGCGATGACTTTACAGTCGTGTAAAAAAGGAAAACTAATTTTGTTATAATTTTTTGTTTATCAGGACATAATAAAATAAGAATTAATTTGCTCCCATGAAGGTGTAAAAATTAGGTAAATAAAGCCTCAGATAGTGATATAATTTATTGAACAGAAAACTCATCCATCCTCAGTCGAGGCCAAAGGTCTAAGTCATAGAGTAGAGCAAAGTGGATAAAGTTTGGCCCAAAAGCACCAACCAAACACAGACAGCTCAGAGCGGCTGTCAGCACGGTGGGGGAGGGATGATGGTCTGGGCTGGTGCTGCAGCATCAGGACCCCAACAAAACTCCTCCACAGACGTCTGAGAGCCTAAAGAAAAACAGAGTCACATGTCATGTTATTGGTCATCTGAGGCTTTATTTACCTGATTTTGAGCTCTGATTTGGACCTGATATTCTTAATTTGTCCTGATGGGTAACACAGCTACACAATCCAGATTTAGACCTTTAATTATTTTCAAAACGCGTCCTGAATGTTGATAAGAAAAAAATGTCCCATAATAAACTGATTTCTATTTTTGTCTTTCCTACTATTTTTTATTTTTTATTTTTATTTATTTATTTATTTTTTTACTATTATTTTACTACTATTTTTTTAAAACTAAAACTAAAACCCACTGGTGATTTAAACAGAAAAAGCAAGCAAATAATCCGCTAGACAATAAATGCGGCCATCATTTTTGGCAACTTTAAGGGCAGATCCCTGCACTTTTTTCCCCTCGCTTCCTCTCAAGAAAACAGCATAGTGTAAAGAAATGAGCTGAACTTTGTATTTATTCACATTTCCATTCACATCAATGGGTTAAACTGATTGTGAGGGTCAAATGGACATTTAGAATTCACTCAGCAGACGGACATACTGACGGGGAGGCTGATTCCCGCTCTCAGACCTGGCCGTCTGACTCTTGTTTTACAGGTTAAGGAGCTCTTGACGTCCTTTGGGCCGCTCAAAGCCTTCAACCTGGTGAAGGACAGCGCCACCTCGCTGTCTAAAGGTTACGCCTTCTGTGAATACGTGGACATCAGCGCCACCGATCAGGTAACGGAGCCCCTCTGTGTCTGCGTGATTAGATTAGATTAGATTAGTTTGCTCCCCTGGTCAGGGCTCTGTTTGCTCCTCCTCAGGCCGTGGCCGGGCTCAACGGGATGCAGCTCGGGGACAAAAAGCTGATCGTCCAGAGGGCGAGCGTCGGAGCTAAAAACGCCAATCCTGTGAGCTCAGAGGGATTTCTCATGAACCAAATCAGCCAGAACTCGAATTAACCAGTATTATTCTTTGTTTTCTGTGTAGGGGTCTTGCAGAAAGCCCCAAAAAATTTTGGTCTTTTTTATTTACCTGATGATTCGTTTAAGAAAACAAACATTTTCTGTTTATATGATGACGTTTAAAAGAGTTTAAATTATATTTTAACCTCAGCCGGCTTTGGATAAATGGCCACCTGTTTTATGAAGTTTTCTAAAAGAACTGACCAGCAAAAGGTCTGTATAGGTGTCTGGCAAAAAGCAACAAATGTTGTTGTTTTTTTATTTTATTTGATGATTTATTTAAGAAAACAGGGAAGAGAACACTTTCTGTTAAAATGCTAAAGTTTAAAAGAGTTTAAATTATACTTTAACCTCAGCCGGCTTTGATTTAAATAAATCATCAAATAAATTTAAAAAAAAATTTTTTTTGCTATGGATAAATTGCCACCTGTTTTATTAAGTTTTCTAAAAGAACTGACCAGCAAAAGGTCTGTGTAGGTGTCTTGCAAAAAGTAAAAATATGTTGTTTCTTTATTTATTTGATGATTTATTTAAGAAAACAAACACTTTCTGTTTAAATTATAAAGTTTAAAGGATATTTTAAACTCAGCTGGCTTTGTATAAATGGCCACCTGTTGTATGTGGTTTTCTAAAAAAACTGACCAGCAAAAGGTCTGTGTAGGTGTCTTGCAAAAAGCAAAATAATCTTTTTTTTATTTTTATGATTTATTTAAGAAAACAAACACTTTCTGTTTAAATTATAGCTTTATCCCAATGTACAGAATAGGTGAACATAAAAGCAAAATGTGGCGTGGTTTCAAACATTGCAAGTTAAAGATAAGCAACCTTGGTTTTGCTCCTCACATATCGAGAGGGGATCTGTTTCCAGAGTATTTATTTGTTTTAGCTCATTCCTGCAGAGCTCTCCCTCTGACTCGCTGCCCCCCCCCCCCACCTCCATCATAGAGACCCCGGTGACCCTGCAGGTGCCCGGGCTGCAGAGGCTGCAGACCTCGGGCCTGCCCACCGCGGTGCTGTGCCTTCTGAACATGGTGATGCCCGAGGAGCTGGTGGAGGACGACGATTACGAGGAGATCCTGGAGGACATCCGGGAGGAGTGCTGCAAGTACGGCAGCGTCCGCTCCATCGAGATCCCCCGGCCGGTGGCCGGCGTGGAGGTCCCCGGCTGCGGAAAGGTGCAGACGCCAGTCCAGACCTGTCCATGTTCAGAGGCAGCTTGGGTTCACACCGGTTGAGGTTTGAGTTGCTCGAGGGTTGATTTTATCCACGTTCAGAGGTTGATTTTAGTCCAAATCAGGACTCTTAAGCACTTTACAACAGCCAATTTTAGTCCAAATCAGGAGACTAAACACTTTAGAAAAGCCTGTACTAGGAAAGCTATTTAACTCATTGACTGCCAGAGTTTTTGGAGCATTTTGACTGATTTTTCAAGAGCCACAGAATAGTTTGTGCTATGACTATGTAAACACCGAACACACCAAAAGAAAGAGTAGACTCTCTTCTTTCATCAGGAAAAAAAATTTGTTTCTACCTTATTCCGTTCTTCCTCGACTTGCGTCTCACCGGCGACATGTTCTCTCATATCGAACCTTTACCTTTTTCTTATTTGCCTACAGTCTATGCTCATCTCCCATCAAAAGTGGCACTGCCACCTAGAGGGTCAATTTGTTACTACATATTCTGTCTAGAAGCCAGTAATAGGAAAGCTATTTAAACACTGATCTGGGATTTTCCCACTGCTTTCATGGAGACTTCTTTTTAAAGATAAATTAGCTCTAAATTAAGCAGAAATCTCTTTGTCGTGTAGAAGTTTTTCTGTTCTTTTGACACAATGAAGCCTGATCCTGTAATTTTGCCTTTTTTTGTCCTTAAAGAAAAAAAAACAAAATAGAAATCAACTTTTTTTTTAAAATTTGCATCCAATGTAATGCCTACTTTTTTGACAGTTTTTCCAATAACTAAAAATGGAAAATATTAATAAATACTAATAAACAAGAGTTTTTATTTAAGTTTTAACCATGCAGTCATAGCTCTCAGAACAAATGAAAGAATCTCAGAATCTACATTTATTCGTCTCTCTCCACCCTTTATTTCTCTTTTTCCCCCTTTCAGATTTTCGTGGAGTACGTTTCTGCTGCAGACTGTCAGAAAGCCATGCAGGCGCTCACCGGCCGCAAGTTTGCCAACAGAGTGGTGGTCACCAAATACTACGACCCCGACATGTACCACAGGCACGAGTTCTGACAGCCTTCGTTCTGTTTGTCGTTTAGACGCCACACCCGGAAAAAAGACTCTGCTCCTGCTCATTTTAACACCCTGGACCCCAGTGTGAGTTCCCTCAAAGCTGAATTACTCCTCGCCTTTGCCCAACACACAACCTGAAATAAGCCTGAAATGTACATTTGCAGTATCTAATCTGACGTGTATCTAATCTAACGTAATACTGCCTGACAGAGCCAGAATGCACTACTATAACAGAAAAAACAGTCAAATGTTTAGGTTTTCTTCCTTGAGCACAAAAAAAAGCCATCCTGGTGATTTTTATGTGGCTGCGCCAAATTTATATTTCATTATTAATTTATTTATCTGTTTATTTATTATCCCAAAGTAACATTTCCTGCTGAATGCGCCACGTTAGTGTTCATAAACCTATAAATGCTGTTAGCTGTGCCGCTTCTGTAGACAAACCGTCGACTTGTTTTGTCAGAATTTAAATGGATTTTGTTAGATTAACCTCTACAAAGGGACTTTTGTAAACGTAGAATAGTTTTTCTGAAAAAAAAATCATTTATTTGACTGGGAAGACTCTGCGAGCAGCATGAATTAGCAAAAAGACACGCGGGGAGATTCAATTAGAGCAGAACGACCGGTTCAAGCCCTCTTTGTTTGGATTTAAGTTGGAGCTTCTTAAAGTCAAAGAGGGATTCCTCATGGCTTCTTAAAGGTTTTTCAAAGGACCCGAGGCCCGTTATGGTCCGAGGCGGTAGCTGATGTTTGTTCGTGCAGATTCTCATTCACCAGGTCCTGGTGACCCTCATAGTCCTGAACTTCTGCTTGGATCTTAAAGGCGTTTCTCCTCTCAGCCTGGAGGATTTTTCAGCTCTAAGCTACATAGTGGAGGCTCAGCTTAAAGCAGCCCCCCAGACCATGAGTTAGCAATTCTACCTATAGATGGTCTAAATGTCTGAAAGGTGAGTTTTGGTCCCAGTCCAGGCTGGGAAACCTCCTGGGAGGAGCCAAAAGGTGATTCCTAAACCCCTTTCCTCTCTTAAAAAATGGCCCTCAAAGCATCCTGCTCTTCTGTTCAGATGTGGACATTACTGTCCTCCCAGGGTGTCTTCTCCCTCAGATGGAGAACTGCTGAGTCATGGCCTCCGAACTACCAGCTTCATAGTCAAAACCAACCACCACATCAAGCACATTTAAATAAAAAACCCAGATCCTATTAAGCTAACGTAGCTATTTAGATAAAATGAAGCTTTGTGAGGTGTTTGTGCATGTTAATGCATTCACACCGCTTCTGTAATTTTATCCAAACGTCAGGACTACTAGTTTAGTCTCTGCACACACACGACTTCCCCGGTGACTTTGAGAAGTACCATTCATTCAAACCTTTAAAATGAGCAGCTGAGAGCTGCTTCTGTCTTCAAGAAGACTGAAATCAAGCTGAATCAGCCCCCGTTTGAGTCCAAATCCATCTGAGCTCCTCGTTCTTAAACACCTGGTTCCCTTCAGGGTGAAGCAGGTGTGGCACATGTTGAGAAAAGCACCTGTAAATGATGTAGCTGGAGCACCGGTGAGGAGATTTATAAACATATATGAAATGGAAGCTTAAATTATCTATATAATGTTTAATCTGCAAGCCGATGATCCTGGAATGAGCCTCTGTTTCGTGTTTATCAGCGTAATAGGCTGAACATATCAACTCATGATAAACTACTGTATTTTATACGATTTTTGAAGAGCCGAAAAGGTCTGATTATTTTTAGTTTGTACAGTTCTGCCACTGCCATTGCCTTGAATAAATGCTTGCCTCCACTGTCTGGATGCTGATGTGCCTTTATTTCCAGCTAATTATATCTATTAATTGAGTTGTATTTTCCAAAAACGATAAGGGAGGGCTGTTTTTTGTCCTTAAAAAAAAAGAGATTTTCCTCTTTTTTTTAAGGACAAAAAACAGCTCTCCCTTTACATGTTTGAATATTTCAATCATTATTTTCTAATGCGATTTCATTTTCATTTGTGACTAGATTTGCCTTTAAAACCAGCATTTCATGTATCAATCAGCATCCATATGTTCATATAACTTTTCCTTTTTTTTTAGGTTGTTTTTTAATTCTCAAAAGGCTTATATGTACGATTGTGCTGCTCACTGCAAAGCTGTATATCTACAGTATATAAAGTGCACATTTCTTGAGAATAAATGCATGAACATAGTGTTTTCCATCAGTTTTGGGACAAAAGTGTCACAGCTACCAGCAGAAGAGAGGGGGGCAGAAACTATTGATTTGTTTCATACTGTAACAAGCAAAACAAAGCTGAAACCACCAAACAGAAACCAGAGTAGAATACAGTGTGACAACAGTGATCATACAGAAAGTAGTGAGAAAGGAGTCAACCAACCAAGGATCTGAATGTAGAGGAGGGTGATTGCTGAGAGGAGGCAGCTGAGGAGCACAGGTGGAGGGAAAGGAGCTGATGACCATCCAGGAGGGGCCTCAGGAAACCATAGGAAAACACAAATAATTTTCTATAAAAAATCACTAACACTTCAAGAGATGAAGGGACATCACTAGCTTTTGCTACCAGATGCCTAACAGGAGCCAGCAAAACTGAGCACATAACTACCCTAAAATGTTCTAATTTGAAATGTTTACTTTGATTTGATTCAACACTTTTTAGGTTAAACTCAATACTACTTTTTCCTTGTGCCATTCTTTCGTCAAATTTTACTGCACTGTTTCCACTTTGTCTTTCCATTTAATCACTTTTCTGCCGAGTACATGTTTAAATCTCTTACGTGGATTACTTTCATGTTCATGCTTTTGTAAAGCACTTTGAGTCACCATGTGTACCAAATGTGCTGTAAAAACAAACGTGATTCGCTTGTAATTACTTCTAATGGACAACAGGTAGCGCTAATTGGACATTTGGTTGCTGGGGAAACTTCTCCGACATTTTGATTATATTAAACAAATATCAAACTCAAATTGTCTTTATTTATTAGCATACATTAAATAGTATCTGCTACATTCATTTTTGTTATTTTCAGCATAAGTAAAATTTTGTATTGTTTTGGGACCGGATACGCAGTGGTAATTTATACGTGACGTCAGACGACGCGGCCATGACGCCGGTCGTCAACAGCCCCGGTTTGACAGATGTTCGTCGGGGGGAAAGTCGCCTCCATTCAGCGCCGAGCAGCGGACGACGGCGGCGGAGGCTCGCTTTTGGATTGTTTTTCGCCGCACCGACTGAAACATGTCCGGGGAAAAGGCGACCACCTCCTGCAACAAGTTCCAGGCCAACGTGTTTAACACGAGCAAATGTCAAAACTGCTTCAAGTCCCGCGAGCTGCATCTCCTTGGCGACCGCGACGTGGAGCAGGTACGTGACCGTTAAGAGGATGCAACCGTTACCGTTAACCCCCAACCGTTTCACGTTTAAAAACTCTCACTCATTCATTGCAAACCTTTGTCAAAAATTGGCATTCACAGTTTTTTTTAAATACATTTTTAGGTGAATTCATATGTAAAATACCGAGTAAACGCGTTTCATTAAAAAAAAAAAAAAAGAATTTGCTTGATAATCGATGGAGAAATTGAAGTTACTTTTGGTTCATTTATTAGCCCAAAGAAGGGATTCTTTGACTGTTTTACTTGCAAATGAATGTTTAAATACTTCTAGAGGATGTTTTCATGAACATGATGAGTAGCAGAAACTTTTCTTTGAGAGTGCCAACAACGTCATTGTTAAAAGGATATTATGGATATTTTTAAATTGGAGAGTGATAAATCAATTACACCAAAACAGTTTAAATTAATAATAAACATTGGGTTATAAAATTATCCTTTCAACATTTAGTTTGAAAGAAAATACACTTAATAAGACTTCTTTAGTGATAAACCTTCCCCACAAAATTACCCAAAATTAAAACATGCATTTTGGACCTCATTGTCTGGGCAAATGAAGACATCATCTGGACATGGATGAAGGTTTAAATTATTTAAATATTGACTTTAAAGACAGTAAAGATACTGACTCAGTGCAACACGGTAATACTTTCAAATGGAAATAAGTTCATTTTTAGATAACAGAGAGAGAAACCCTCCCTCATTTAATGGATTCCTTTGTCAACTATATCTAAAAAGAACAAACTCACAGCTCTCAATTAAAATGTCTGGGTTTAATCTGAGCTGTATTTGGCCCCTAAAAGCTTTTTGACGCTTTGTGCATCCATATTCCCAACATTTTATAATAAACATTAGAGTATTTCATCTTCATTTAAACCAGGTTTCATCAATCAGTGGATATAAGTTTTGGGGAAATTTCTTTATGAACAAGCTGCCCTAGTAGCTGAACAAAGTGATGTGTGTCTGTGAAAGTGTTTTTATAGCTTCATTTGTCACATCTGAAAAGCAGGTGATAAAAATCCTGTGGCTTCCAGGACGGGAAACCAAGCTTCTGCATCACCCAGACGGCAGCTCCCCCAAGACAGCTAATGATTATTAAGATTTGTCAAACCTCCTCATCTGTTCTAAATCTTCAATCCTTTGATTATTCTAAGAACTGAGAAGTAAAATCACCAAGTGCTGTAGTGTAAAAAGTCCTTTGTTCAGCGTCCCGGAGCAGCAGAATTATCGTCAGCCGAGTGCTCTTAAAGTGTTGAGCGAACAAAGTCTTCTTTCAGACTAAAGACGCCTACTGCTTTGCTGCATAATTAGATTAACACTGGAGCAGGATAAGGAGTTTACACCGTTAACTGTGGCTGGGTTCGCTGTGTTGAGGAGGCAAAAATACATTTTCAGCCTCTACTGGACTTGGATGGATGTCAAATATAGTTTCTGACGCAGAACGTGGAGTATCTGAAACGGGTATTTGAATTGTTACCCCATAAGCACCTCCTTGTTTTATTATTTATAAATCTGTTCAGTCATTTTGCTTTAGATTATCGAAAGAGACGAGTGCTTTTTGAATTCCTGAGAAGCCCTAAGCAGTGGTTTCTGTCTAAAAACAACCAGCTGAATGTCCGTTAAATGGTGAAAACAATGAAACAATGATGCTCTAACCCTACATTTCAGCAGAAATATTTATTTTGCACGTGTTTGCTCTCCGCCCTTTTAAAACCTGGTGCTGCTGGCCTGTCATGCACAGGTGATGTGAGGAGACGTGCTGCATGCCTCGCATTGTTGCAGTATGCTATCACAGCCCGTGCCTGGATCCCCGCTCTGTAATTACCGAGCTCAGTTTTACTCTGACAGAGCTGGAAACGGCTCTGTTTTTTCACGTGTTTACCTTTCAGAGAGAATCACCTGACGCGTGAGGCTTCAGGACGTCTGGGTTTGTGTAGATTGAGAATCTTAATAAGTGATGTATTCAGTCTGAGCGGCTTTCCATTCGCTTATCAGACCAAGAAAACATCTACATGTGAGAGTCTGAAGGCCAGGAACAAGACTTTTGATGGCTTTCGGTTGTCTCAACCGTCAGTTTAATTATTTTAGTTTGCACTAACAGTCAAGTGGAGACCAACAGATTTCCCAGATTATAATAAAGAAACAAATTACTGTTGTTTCTAACTCATTCAGACAGGCTTCTGTGCTCTGATCTGGAAGACTGTTTGTCTGGAAATGTTGATGTTCACCTTCACCAGAAGTCAACAGTTCGTTTGCTGCTGATTGGGTTAATCATACCAATAATTAATATATTCTGATAAGAAAACTGAAGGCTGTAGTAAATCAACATTTTCTGCTTTCTCCTTTAAAATATGATAATTTCCCGCTCATGTTGTTTGATAATGATTCTCATTAAAAATCGACGTTCGGCTTTAAGGGAATTAAACGTTTTAAATAAAAAGTAACATTTCGAGCAGCCCAAAGATCAGAGAAGAGAGAGAGAAGAGAAAAAGAAACCTTCCCTCTGTTTGAGGGCCCTGGTGCCTCAGCGGGTTTGGCAGGTTGTGAGCCTCCAAAGAGTCGTCTGTATTTCTGTCAACAAGCGACATCCAAAGTAAATGAAAGGATGCTTCATCTGAACGACACCTCATTGCACACTTCCTGTGTTGGCCCTGATGTGTATTTTTACCCTGAAATAATGTTTGCTGTTGTCTTTCCCGCCAGGCGAAGCCCATCTACTGCAGCTGGCTGTGTTTGGCCCCGGTGGGCACAGACTTCGACAACCCCGTGCAGCGCTCCCGGGTAAGACTTTAGTGGGTTTCAGCCCCCTTCCCCCCAAAACCAGCGGTGTGGTGACTCTGTTCCTGTGTTGTGGTGTCAGAAATGGCAGCGGCGCTTCTTCGTCCTGTACGAACACGGCAGCCTGAGCTACGCCCTGGATCAACAGGTGAGAAACTCCCGGTTGGGACCGGCTTCACTAGTCCCGTGCAGGGCTCAGGCGGCCATCTTTAGGCCAGATGTTGTGTGCAGAACCACGGCAGATGCTTTTGGCTTAGCCGCTTCTTTAATGCCGCCCCCTCTTCCTCGCTGTGATCCCCTCCGTTTTAATTCCCTCATCCCTCATTCCCCGAGCTGCCTGCTGTTCAGCTGCCATTAATCCGGCTGTCAGTCTTGGCTTGGAGTCGCAGTAAACATGATTCTTTAAAGGGGACATATTATGCAAAACCAAGTTTTCAATCATTTGATTATGTACATTTGGGACTGTGGAGGGCCTATCAGCAGGCAAAGTGTGAAAAAAAAAGACTCATTTTTGTGGGCTGCCTCAGTCTGAATCCAGGAGATAAATCAGGAGGTTTCAGGAGTGGGTAGTTTCTGACGTCATTAGCTCTAGCTCATTATAATATTCCAGCCTTTCACCTGCATGTTGCCCCCCCCCCCTCAGCTTACTCCGCCTATCTGTGGCAGACGTCGTGGTAGCGTGAGCGTTAGCATGGTAGCGGTAGCATGGTAGCGTTAGCGTGCCGACATGGGCACACCTCCCGGAAGAAGTGGGTGGATTGCCTGTGTCTCATTTGCATTTAAAGAGACAGGCACTCCAAAGCGAGCGCTCTGAACGGGGCTGTTTTGGCAGGGGGACTGAACTGCTATTGGGCTTCATCCTTATGGGATTTTGACCAAAGCTTGTCACAGACATTACATTAGGACACCAGGGAACTAGTTTAACTTGTTGAAATAGGGTATTTAATGTGCTGTGACCCCGGTGCTCTGGTTCTCCCGCAGCCCAGCACGCTGCCTCAGGGGACGGTCAGCATGAGTCTGTGCACAGATATCTCCGACGCGGAGTCCCGGACGGGCCAGAGAAACGCCCTCTGCATCAAAACCCCGGAGCAGGAGATATTCATCCGCGGTGACAACAAAGAGATCATTAACGGGTCAGCACCCCCTCCCACTCCCCCTCCACTGAGACCTTCCAGGAGCTTTAAGGGTTGTGTCGGCCGCCTCTGACCGGCCGGATGTCTCTGTCCTTTTCAGCTGGAGGGAACAGCTGTCCGCCTACCTGCGCACAAACAAACACAGCCAGAAGAAAAAGCGGAAGGTCGAACCCATCGCCAATCAGGTAGCTTAAAAAATGCCCGCGGTTCACACTTAAACATCAGATCCGGCGTTTTATTTTTTTTTTGTAGATATGTTTATTGATTTTTTTTGTTTTAATAATAACAACAAAAACAACAACAAAACACAAAACAAAAGCTCAGCAGTGCAGTCCAGAGATAAGAGGAAATATAAGATGGGGGGCATACATACTTCCATCGTTGTATAGTACACATCTAAACATTCATAAATGCTCGAGACAGGATGGTAGACACGTGTCCTTCAGCATAGTCCAGGAAGGGCTTCCATATGCGTCCAAAAATGTCAGTCTTAGAGTGGACGAGGCATGTTAGAAAGTCTAGACTAGAGGGATATATTCCAAAGTGAGCTTCTTCCACCCAAAAATTGTAGGAGATTTATTAGAAATCCATTGTAAGATCCGGCGTTTTAATTGGCTATTTTCAGGCTGTTTAAAATTATATTGAAACATGAAACGGAATGAAATAAAAAATTAAACAAGGGTTTCCATTTTTAGGAGCCAAGCCCAGCAAAGATGGCCGCAACCGATCTGAGCTTTGCGCCCACTGAAGGAGCCTCAGAGGGGACCCTGGTCAGAAACAGCACGGACCCTCTGGGTCCGGAGTGGATCCCTGCCGGTACAGCACAAGTCCAACACTCTCCGCCAATCACAGCCACTGTCCTAACACCCTGCAGACGTCCACACACTTGCAGCCTTTTATTTGGACTCTGTGCTTCAGCCCCGTGGAGCGGGTACAGACCCGCTGCCGTGGGAACTGGCAGGAGGAGTTTGTTGTTTGAACAGGATGTAGACTTACATAAACACAGCGACAGAAACGCAGTGAGAGATGAGCAGGAAATTCTGAGTCTCTGACCCTCAGGCATCATTAAAGCCAAACTGCAGACATGATCCATAAAAGAGCTCTTAAACGAGTTCTAAAAGCTGGGCAGTGGGGTGGTTTCCCCCCTCTGCTGTGACAAAGTGGACACCAGCACCCATCTGGCTCCAGACTTAAAGCAGGTCTGATGTCTGCTGCTGCCTCAGGCTCCATCAGAGGAAGAACTGCTCAGTCCCTGTGTCTGCCTCCGTCTCAGTTCTTACCCTCACATATTAGCTACTTACTACTTCCATAAAATTCAGAAATCTTGAATCAGGTTTGTTGAGCACAGCCTTAATAGAAATCTAGACCTAGAAATCTGAACAGAAAGTCTGAAATCTACATTTTTAATGAATGTCATCGTGTTATTTCTGGTTGTAGAGTTTTTCCTTTAGTGGTTTGAATGGGGATTAACAGCAGTTTGAAGGACTTTTTACAGGATTTAAGAAGCTTTTCTCTTCAGTTGTTATGTTCTCAGTCCCTCCAGCAGAGGTGGAGTGAATCCAGCCTTATTTCAGATCCAGGCAGAGCTTTCCCTCAAAGGCAGTTACCAACATGCCGCCAACATTTAAGGTTTTCAAATGGTTTTTAGCTCTGAGGTTTTCAGAAACCCTTCAGGTTAGACAAGGCTTTTTTTAGCTTTGGAATTGCATCTTTCTCTGAAGGTGTTTAGCAGGTTGGCAGAACCTGGATCGTCTTTTTGACTGAAGGCCCGAGCAGCATTTCCCAGGTTAGAGGATGATCACTGCTTTATGGGTTAGGCCCTTCTCTTCTTCCTTGTTAGCTTGTGGCTGTTGCACAAACATGTGAAATGTCAAAGAAGTTTGGTTATGTTTTCAGTCAGGATTACGTCTAAACATGTGTTCCTCTCTCCTGTGCTGATGTCCTCTTTGTCGATTCACGATGATGTCACTGTTATTAGTCTGTGAGCCGAGTCTAAACAAAACGATAAATGGTTCTGTTGATGTTCCCATGGGAACATTACGCCTACCCATCAACAAGAGAAACCGTACCTCTAAAAGTCTGCACGCGATATACTTAACAAAAACTAAGACAAAACGGAGAAAAGTGGGAAAACGAAATCCCCCCGTCGACCGGGCAGCTGGTAGGAGCTCCTTTAGGAGCGGGAAGCGTCTGGATGACGTTATCGTTCCTTCACGTGGTTTTGGAGGAATTTTGGCCCACTCTTCCAGGGTTACTTCAGATCTTTGACATTTGTGAGTGTGGACTTCAACATTCTGTTCATGTTGTATTTACCTCGTTTCCCGACCTGTTGCAGACCAAAAGAAGGGAAAAGAGTATCCTGTAAGGGGTCACGTCAGGATGCTGTTGGGACGAAAAATGATCTAAAAACATCTTATACACCATCTGCTATTTTTTCCCCCAATATTTTTATTGATTTTTTTGCATTGCATAACAATTCTAAATAGAACATTAACACATAACACCCCCCCACACACACACAGACCTAGGCTAAACCCGCAAATTTCACCTATATACAACTTAGCTTAAGAAATGTATACATTTGAAATCAAGTACTCCAATGTAATAAGGATCCCGCTAAAAAATATAATGAAAAACAAATAAATGAAACATAAAAAAATACAGAACAACTTAGAATAAATAAACATTATATCTCAGACTCGATAATGCTCATACACCATCTGCTATTTAAAGGTCCAGTGGAGGATATTTTTATCTGTTTTGTGATGAAGGTGCAAACGGATAAGGCTTTTAGTTTAGTGGCAGAGACTCTGTATTTCTTCCTTCCTAAAACAGACACAGACACATTATGGTGGATTGGTCTCCCTGCCCTGCGGATACAAACCTCATAAGCCCTTTCTGTGATGTGTTTTCCCCCCCAGGCAGCGGCCCTCCGAGCAGCTCTGCCTTCGACTCGGTTGTTGGGAGCTCCGGACAGATTCAGGGCGAGGACAGGAGGTAGGAGAGTAATCTGTGAAGGGGGTTTCTGTTTTCAGCAGGTTTCAGAACAATGTGGGTGAATCTGTGACGGAGCCGTGGGATTCCGAGCAGTATGGTTTTTATTTTCTCTCCTACGTTTCCATGTAATCTCTGGGTGACGCTGACAGCCACTTAAAGAGGGAAAAAGGGGTAAATGTGCAAGCAATTAGCACAAAGAACATCCCCTGTGCCCCCCCCCAGCATGAAGCCCAACACACTGCTAAACGGCAGATCAAAGGGCCCCGCTACCCCTCCATCAGACATCTGACCGAAAGCTTTTTAAATTTAGCTGCAACAAACCCTCCCAGTTTGTTCCCCAGCAGCAGGGGAACGGCTCACATGAGGAGGATTCATGTCAGCTCTTCACTCTCGTTGCCTTTTTGGGAAACAAAAACACAAAATACTTATCCCCCCCCCAAATAAGGCCATAAATTCCAAAAGGCTGGTGTAATTAGATATCTGCTGCCTTGTTTCTCATGACCTCAACGCTGACAGTCCGCATGCCTGTCAGAGAGTAGAGCTCAGTCCACGCTCGGTTTTTGGGGTTTGGAGGTTCTGCTGGGACCCCTGTGACCCGCTCAGAGACAAACTCAGACAGGTTTTCCTCACTTTGGTAGAAGGCCACAGCTTTTATGTTTATGTTTATGCATTTGACAGACTCTTTTATCCAAAGCGACTTACAGAGTAGACACAATATCACATTTATCATCGCTATGACAATAAGCTAAACAGAGGAGAACACTCATCAGAGTCAGTGGTGAGATAGAGATAGAGGTAGACGGACTACAGAAGGAGCTGTGGGGGATAGAGGTTTTATACACTGACCTCCATCTCCGAGGGACAAACCCCTTTTTACTGCTGTGGGATGTTCACATAAACGATCAGCATGGGTTTATCTTCCGATGTTAGATTCGTGCTATGACTAGTACTGATGGTATCGGAACAGGAGAGGCAGACTAGTGTTTTCCACTGAACCGTGCCTGACGGTTGTAACAGAGCGAACCGATCCGCCGAGCATTCAGAGCGTTGATAGTTGATTATTGCATGGTGTTTGGTGACTGGGGAAACTCTCCGTGCAGCTTTTTCCGCCGGTGCTCTCAGTCTGTGACGCCTGCTGTCATCCTGCACAAAGCGCCTCTCGCTAGTCTCTCAGCAGCAGTTTTTCTTCTGCACAGGTGCTGTTTAGGGCTCATTATCAGGCTCGGCATTTTACAGGTGTTACAGGAAATGATGAAGGAGCTGACACACACACACACACACACATACTCACACACACACATACTCACACACACACACACACACACACACACACACTCACACACACAAACAGCTTGTTTGTTCTCAGGAAGATACCTTCCAGGAAGTTTGTTTTTGAGCTGATGCCTTGACAGGCATCAACACTGGTATTTGTTCAGTGGCATTTGCTTTTCTGCAGGGGGGGGTGCAGTGCATTCTCAGATTGTAATGAAAATGAAACCATGTCATCATGTCTTATTTGTTCATTTATTTTCTAATTATTCTCAGCTATGAAGTCCAAACCAAAAACTTGGTCAAATGAAGAAGACGGTGCTGTGGACTGAGATCTTAAGTCATTTCTTGTGTTTTCAGGTCTGCAGAGCCGGTCACCAGGAGGGAGCGCGTGGGGGGGACAGGTGTCCCCAGACAGGGCCGGATGGAGACCCGCACCAGCAAGAGAGAGGTAACCACGCCACACCCACCCACCATGGTCACCACCACCACAACCCGGGCAGGTCGAGGTGTCGGGCAGAGGCCACTCTGCTGGATCTGATTATCTGAGTGGCAGGTCAGACGGGTTCTGACATATTTCACCACTTTGTTTATGTTTATGCATTTGGCATTTGACGCTTTTCTCCAAAGCGACTTAAAGAGTAGACACAGTATCACATTTATCATCACTATGACAATAAGCTATATAGAGGAGAAACACTGATCAGAGTCAGTGGTGAGATAGAGATAGAGGAAGAGGGACTACAGAAGGAGTTGTGGGGGGGATAGAGGTACGGGTTAGGGTTAGGATAGGAGCTGGGGGGGGTAGAGGTACGGGCTAGGGTTAGGATAGGAGCTGTGGGGGGATAGAGGTACGGGTTAGGGTTAGGATAGGATATGATCACCTCAAAGTGAGAGCCAGAGGGAGTCTCCCAGTTCCTCCAGGAGCTCTTCCAGTTCATGGAGCATGTTGTCATTCTTCTTACATGTGACAATTTGTAACTCCAGTTATGTTTGCTTTTCATAGTCTTAAGAGAGCCTGTTTGTTTTTGGGTTGCATGATTCCGGATTTATGTAACACCCCGTGGTGTTATGTTTCAGCCAGTAAACGACCGACCAGTTCAGCTTGTTCTGACATACAAATATTTGCTTTATTTCTACTAATAACACGAGAAGCTGGATGCCAAGGCAGTGAGCGGACACCTAAAATCACACCGATGCCATATCTGGCTGTTCTGTGGAAAAAGCCTGATGTCATGTCATTTCCAAAGAGCCCCTCTCATGTCTAATCGGTGCATTTTTGTGCTGGTAGATGCAACGGCTTACTAACGTCAGCGTCTGAGAATAAAAACCGAATACCTGACCGAGCTTGTTTGTTTCCAGATGACGGTAACAAACCATGAGCATGTAGTTCTGACTAATGCTGCTGTGGTTGTGTAATGATTAAGACCAGTTACTGTGTCCAGCTGGACTCAGACTGGCTCTGGCTGTTCTGGATGAGAGATCTCACTTTACCTCTGAGGCTCAGACCTGATAAAACTCTCCTCCGGCTAATTGGATCAGTGTGTAAACCAGAGACGGACCCGATCCATTCAGTGTCGTCCGTCTTTAAAGTTTTCATTCAGTCCATGCTGCTAAAACCAGACGATGAGAGCTGATCTCAGACGTGTTGAAGGGTGAAGCCCGATGTGTCGGGGCACGTTTGTCCCCTGCGTGTGTCGGCAGGTGGGAGAGCGGCGCTGAATCATCCGGCGCCGCTTTCTGTTTGGGAACAAAACTGGTTTTGATGCCCTGAAGGCGTTCAGCCCACCTGCCGCATTCCTCCTCACGGCTTCTTTCCAGGGATTCCTCAGAAGTCAAACCCGGTCCGGTTCGGTGGACCTCTGAGTCCGAGTGAGCGTCTCGAACCTCCTCTGAGATGTTTTAGTGTCACACGATGGCTTCTGTTTTACGGCCGAGCCCACAGAAAGTTCCCAAACACACGGAGTCCCCGTTAGCTGCTCTCGGCTGCACATCTGTTTGTGAATCACAGCCTTTTGTGTGTTTCTGGGCCTGACCCCGGTGATTAAGTTGGTGAGTAAGCCCTAACAAGTGTCTGTGTGTTACAGTATCCACAAAACACAAAACATTCATCAGAAACTTCCCACTGGGTGATCCATCAGAGAAGATCACAGCATCTTCAGACTATTCTGTTTCCTACAAGTGATTTTAGTTTTTATGGTGACGTTTGCTCCCAGACGCGCATCATCCTGGGAAAGGGTTGAGAAATGAACCCGCCGTATGCAGCATGCTGTACGGCACCAATGAGCTCAGATTTTCCACAACTAAGCAAGAAGGACGTCATTTAGTCCAGCAGGCTGCAGAGGCTACGGGCTGGGATCAGTGAGCAGTCGTTTCAGAACATTTGGTGTAGATTTTTTGTTTGTTTATTTGTTTATTTATTATTAGGATCCCTATTAGCTGTGCTTTACACCCAGCTACTCTTCCTGGGGTCCACATCATTAAAAATACAGTATACAATGCAAATTCATGAACAGGTTTGACAGATGATAAATATCATAAACATATCAATAAGACTGAACATTCATAGAAAAGGGGAAAGTTACAAATTGAAATTTAAAATGTTAACATTTTATGAATAAGTTACAATAAATTAAAACATGAAACTATTTCATTTATAGATAAGTTGCTCCTAAAAACTTCTTAAGTTGCATTTTAAAAGCAGACTTATGTACAATTTTTATGAGAATTAATGGCAATGAGTTCCATTCTTTCATTGCTCTGTAAGTAAGGCCTCCCCTTTTCAAAGAGCTCCAGATCTACTCTGAGCCCCTTCCAGATGACCAAGCTAGGTGAGGATTGGAATAGGAATCAACATGCAAATTGACAGTTTCTCCTTCCAGCTCAGCTCTCATCATAAAACACCTGTCAGACGCTGAGATCAGCACGTTACTACAGATCAAAATGGACTGCCAAGACTAGTTTCTATTGTGGGAGAGTAAATCCCTTTAAGGGATGTAAAGGAAACTCTATGTGAATGAAAATCATGAAACATAATCAGCAATTTTTCAGGAAGTTGAAAAAAATATCATTATGTCAGTCTGACCAAAACCAGACATTTTAAAATGTGCAGCTGAAGTCAATCTACATAATTAAATACAAACATTATTTGTCAAAGTTTAACAATTAAGTCCAATAAGGAGTCTGGGAGCATTCTGCATTTTGGCATCCTTTCTTTTCGTAACAGTGTTAGCATCTCTTCTATTCATTTTGATTTATTTTATCTTTTTTTTAACCTGCTAATGTCCCAGTTTGTCTGTGTCTTATTGCTCTTGGCTGTTATGGCAGTTTTAAATCGTTCAGCCTCTCAGGTAACCTCATAAACACTGTAACCCAGGGCAGGAGAAGGTCAGAGGAGCCTGTCCAGAGATTCCCAGAACAGCTTCTTCCTTTCCTCCCCTCCAGGCCTCTCCATTCAGTTGAGATGAGCTCTGTTTGAGGCGGTCAGTCAGGGAGCTGTGTCCCTCTCTCTGTTGTGTCCTTGGATAGTTTTCAATGTAAATGCAAGAAAAGAAAAGTACAAAGGAGGTTCTGTGTAGATTAAAGTGGTCATTTTTTCTCGTTAAAGTGGTTATGTAAGAGAGAAGAATGAATCTTTTGAATATCAGAGGCCCAAGTACAAAAAAGTGCTCCCTTGTTCTGTTTAATGCTGCGTAATCCCGACCTGAAACGGACCGATACGCACTGTTGGAGCCACTGCGAAACGGGAGACTCGTTTTAAAATGCAGGACGAAAGCTGCATCCTGTCAGACACCATTTACTCTCTGAAACCTTTTCACATCCAAATCCACATCCAAATCTAATCATCTGTGTGCAGTCTGCTCACGATGTGGGTGAGGCTTTAACAGAGCTTAGAGCCGTTTGGGCTCCCAGCAGGCCTAATCCTTAAACCGAGTCTCTGCCAAGCCTCCAGCAGCCGGTTTCTCCGGCCGATGGCATGCGGGCTGCATCCCGACTTGGGAAACACTTCACGTACAGTGGGGGAAATAAGTATTTGACCCCTTGCTGATTTAGCAGGTTTGCCCACTTACAAAGAATGCTTATTTTTCCTCATCAGATGGTTATCAATTTTTATAAATTCATATGATGTGATTTTCTGGAATTTTCTTTGGGATTCTGTCTTTCACTGTTACAATGAACATGTGATTAAAGTTATAGATCGTTGCATTCTTTGTAAGTGGGCAAACCTGCAAAATAAGCAAGGGGTCAAATACTTATTTCCCCCACTGTATCTGCTTCTGTGAAACCCTGAGTCTGACAAAAAGAGGTCTTAACTCCAGCTCTTCAATCATGGCCGTTTTTTTTCCCCCCTCCTGCAGAAACTGCCATCGTGTGCAGACGTGGTCCAAACGGAGGCCCCCCCCCCTCAGAGAAGAGCCAAATCTCTGGACCGAAGGACCTCAGACACGGTCATGACGGTAAGGCACCGCAGAGATTCACAGATAGGACGCTTAACTAAAGGAAAACGGGGTGAGAGTTCAGGACCGAGGAGCCTCAAGTTCAAGAGCTGCTAGTTCACGTTTATATTTCCAGGAAGCGGCAACTGGAAACCGTGTTTTTATGGTGGTTTCTATGGAAGCATTTTAGCGTTTTACAGTGGAAGGCAGAGGGAACACAGAGTACAGGTTACTGTTTTTACTCACCCCTTATCAAGATTCAATCGACAAGATAAAGAGTTCAAAAAGCTTAAAACTTTTGTTTTAGGCTGCATTCCAGGCTGATTTGATCCCCCAAAAAATGGATTTGCTCATCAGCAAATTAAATTTTCCTTTCATTTCGTGGATCTACATTTACAGTCTTAAGATAATTAGCAAAAGGTATGAAGTCATCCTCCCCTCCTCTTCTTCCTTCATAATTTTTGTGTCTCCTCCGTCCTTCCACCTCTGATCCAGAAATGGTTAAAATATTTTGAGGGATGGAGGAGACACTTTGAGAAGGAACCATTAAATTATATTTAAAAAAATTCTCTGACATCTGGAAGTGGCATGACGTGAATCCCACGTTGAAGCATAACTATTCAAGTTATATCTGCAACATTTTTATTACAGCCGGATTTACTGAACTTCAAGAAAGGCTGGATGGTTAAACTGGAGGAAAATGATCAGGTAAAGTAAGAAAAAAAAAAAGTGTTTTCAAGGGTTTCCCTGAAATCAGATGTTTTCATTTCATTAAAATGTCGTCTGCTCCCTCTAGTGGAAGAAATACTGGTTTGTGCTCTCGGCGGACAGTCTGAGATACTACAGGGACCCCTTAGCTGAGGAGGTAAAGCCCGTTTCTCACAAACTCAAAGAGAAACTGTCACCTGCTCTCTAATGCCTCAGTGTCTCCCTCCTCCTCTTTCAGGCCTCAGATCTGGAGGGTGAAATCGACCTAGCAAAGTGTTACAGCGTCTCAGAGTATCAGGTGCAAAGGAACTACGGCTTTCAGATCCACGTAAGACCTCATTCCGGCTGCTGTCTAATCCAGTGTTTTTCAACCTTTTTTGACCCTAGGTAACTTTTTTCATTGAAAAAATCACGAGGCACACCACCAACCAAAAATGTCAAACAAATCTGTAGCCGCCTATAGTAACACTATAATTATTCTTATTTTATCCTTATCTTATTTTAAGTGTCTTGAATAGGAATCAAATAAACACAAAAATGTATTTTTATCACATTTTATATTTCTTCTTTTAAATTGCTCTTAACATGTCCACTTCAATATACAAAATTATATACAAAATCTAGTCATAAGGAATTATTACATGATTACTCCACCAGTCACTAGAACAGCACAGACACTCAAAAATGGCATACTATTTGCAGATAATTAATTCCTTATCAAAAAATCTTTTTAGACCAATTATATGAAATGGGATGATATTCTACAGCACACCTGACCATCACACTAGTGTGCCGAGGCACAGTGGTTGAAAAACACTGGTCTAATCTGCCGAATAAACAAGTCTTTCAGTGATACGTTTAAATGTCGCAGACTCTGAGGGGCGTCTTCACGCTGTCGGCCATGACAGCAGGAATCCGCGAGAACTGGATCCAAGTGCTGATGAAGAACGTGCACCCAGCCAACGCCCCTGATGTCGCCAGGTGAGCGGCCACAGTTTCCTCAGCAGCAGCTAATGTTCAAGTTACTCCGTTCTGAAGATCTGAACGGATGCTCAACTGACTGGTCGAAGAGTTAAAAGACATAGAATTAAACCCTTTAAAGCCCGATCCAAGAAAAATAGGATGAATATTGGATTTTTTGGAAGTCTTTCTTTGGCCCCTCAACAACATATGAAGAAAAAAAACAGGAATTGTTTTGATCAAATTGGCGTGCAATAAGTCAAAGATATATTTTGGTGTAGTCTTCTACTGGCTGTTATCAGGTATATCTGAATGTGTACAACAGGGGTTTGAGCAAAGCTTTTATCACTGAATGATGCAAAAAGTCTCAGATCCAAAAGACTTCAGAAACCGTACGTATCAAATATGATACATTTGGCATTATAGGGTTAATTTATTATATGTCTTATAATGAAAAGGTCCTCAGAGCTCCCAGACGCTTTGAAAATACTTTTTAAAAAGATCTTTATATTCAGCCAATTGTCCAGAACTTTCTTTAAAATGCTCCATATAGTTTTAAAATAGACCTCCTAGTTCCACCCTGGATAATTTCTGACCTTCTAACCCCTTTGGTGTATTCTCAGTTTACCCGGCCCCCCCGAGGTCCTGCCCAAACCAGATGTGACGCAGGACTCTGACGTAATCACGGACCGACGCCCCCCCGCCAAGCCCCGGAGCCTGAAGGAGGAGAGGCAGGACGGAAATCACACAGCCTTCGACTGGGCCGAGTTCAGGCCTCAGGCCAAGCTTACGGCGGAGGCCGAGAGGCAGGAAACCGGCCCCCCGCGCTCCCTGGAGCTGGACTACCAGGAGAGGCGGAGGAGGCGGGAGGAGAGGAGGCAGCGGTACGAGAGAGAGCTGCTCATCTCTTTTGGGCGGGAAGAGAGCGGGGAGAAGGTGTCTGATGGCACCGAGCGAGCTCTGAGTCCAAAGTCCCAGCGGAGGGTGGAGGAGGAGATAGAGGAGTGCTGGAAGCAGGTGGAGAGGACCGTGTTCAGGGCGGAGAAGACGCTGCCGCTCAACTCTGAAGCCAGAAACACAGCAGAGGTGGAGGAGCTTCTTCTTCTTCTTCTTCTGTTTGCTCTCCTGCTTTAAACCTCAGTGTCTGTTTTTCTACCTTCAACCATTAACTCATTGACTGCCAGCCATTTTCAGAACAGAGTCGCATACTGCCAGTTTTTTGAGCATTTTGACTGATTTTTCAAGAGCCACAGAATAGTTTGTGCTATGACTATGTAAACACTGAACACACCAAAAGAAAGAGTAGACTCTCTTCTTTCACCAGGAAAAAGAATTTTGTTTCTACCTTATTCCGTTCTTCCTCGACGTGCGTCTCACCGGCGCCATTTCTCGCATAGCGAACCATTGCGCTTTTTTTTTATTTGCCTACAGTCTATGCTCATCTCCCATCAAAAGTGGCACTGCCACCTACAGGGTCAATTTATTAGTACATACTCTGTCTAGAAGCCTGATATTTACGGACAAGCTTTAGCAGATCGTCCCCCAGCCACTCGCGTTGAAAAACATAAAAGACGTCTATAGACGTCTTTGGCAGCCAATGAGTTAACCAACAAATTGTGTTCTCCTGTTTTAAAGCTCAACAAATGACGGTTTATTTTTTGTTGAGTTTACCTGCTATAGGTGTGTTTAGAAATTGAGATATTTTAAATGTGATATGAACTTCTTTTCTTTGTGTTGTTGAAGGTTGAAGATCTGAAGATCCAGCTGGCCGAGTCAGAGCGCCTCAGGCTGCAGCTGGAAGCTGAGCTCTCTTCACACAGACTCAGTCAGCAGCAGGTCTGAACAGACCAAACACTCCCTGTTTATTACCCACACTTATCTCATAGTTTTGTTTTGATGAGTGTTTATTGATTAACTCATTGGCTGCCAAAGACGTCTATAGACGTCAATTCAAATACAACCGTTTACTGCCAAAGACGTATCTAGACGTCTTTTATGTTTTTCAACGAGAGTGGCTGGGGGACGATCTGCTAAAGCTTGTCCGTAAATATCAGGCTTCTAGACAGAGTATGTACTAACAAATTGACCCTCTAGGGGGCAGTGCCACTTTTTATGGGAGATGAGCATAGACTGTAGGCAAATAAGAAAAAGGTAACGGTCGAGGAAGAACGGAATAAGGTAGAAACAAAAATTTTTTCCTGATAAAAGAAGAGAGTCTACTCTTTCTTTTGGTGTGTTCGCTGTTTACATAGTCATAGCACAAACTATTCTGTGGCTCTTGAAAAATCTGTCAAAATGCTCAAAAAACTCTGTCAGTATGGGACTCTCTGTTCTGAAAATGGCTGGCAGTCAATGAGTTAAGTGATTATTTAAGTTTGAATAAGTCTTATGATTCTGTCTTTTTCCATTTTTTTCCTCAGATGGTTCCTCCAGTTTGTTCTGAAGCAGATTTCTGCTCAGAAAACACAAATAAAACCTCAGTAAACGACTCAAAGGATTCACAGCAGACGACCACAGAGCAGCGCTTCATCGGAGAGGACGTGCTCTCCCTCAACTCGTCTTCATCGGCGCCTCGGCTGCCAAACGTCTGTTTGCAACATCTGGAGGACTTATTTCCTGAGACCGAAGTCTCATCGGCGTTGGACGGCCGGCATGAGCTGTGTCTGACCGACGGACCGGAGCTAAACTTCGATGCCTGGAACGGTTTGGGCCGAGAAGACTGTCAGCCGCTTTCCAGCTCGGACACAAAAACAAATAACGGCGAGCTCTTTACTCCCGAGAACCCCGCAGGGAAAGATGGCCGCTCCCTGACCGATGTGGCTCCAGACCTGCTGCTGGTGAAGACTCTCTCCAAAGAGCTGGAGCTCCTCTCCCACCAGAACGCAGCCCTCCACCAGCACAACCAGGAGGTGCTGAATCAGCTGACAGAGGCCGACCGCGAGATCGAACGGCTGAAAGCGGAGCTCAGCAGCAGGTACACCGAACCTCACCACCTGCCTGAGGTGGAACAGCAGGAAAAGATGAGATTGGAGGATCTGGAGAAGGAGCTGAGTCTGAGGAACCAGGAGCTGCTGGAGGCCCAGATGCTGATCATGTCCCTGAGGGAGAGCGAAGCTCTGACGCGGCTGAAAAACCTGACGGGGAGCGAAGGATCGGAGGACGAAAACAAGAACAACACGGAGAAAACGGACGGATACCTGCTGCGGTGCTTCGAGGCCACAGAGGCCAAGCTGACGGAGCTGGAGAGGCAGCTGGAGGAGTCACGGCTGAGCTGCAGGGAGCTCCAGCAAAAGAACGCAGAGCTGAAGGAGGCTGGCTCCTTTTGCTCCGAAAGTCTGGAAAAAAAACTCTGTGAGGAGTGTGAGAGAAGGCTGAACGGAGAGGGAAAGAACAGGAGTGTTTCCAGTGAAGACAGGACTGTTTCCAGTGAAGAAAAGATCCGGAAAGTCATCCAGGGGATGCTGCTGAGGCAGAGGGTTTTGGGGAAGCTGCTCGGAGTCATCGAAGGTTTGGGCTGCGAGAAAGAAACCGAGGAGGTGGAGGAGAGTCCCACTGTGGGGAGTCAGCTGAGGCGGGAGGAGGAAATGTGGAGGGAAACCCTCAACAGGCTGAGGGAGGAAACTCGATCGGACGACCCCGTGGACGCTCTCGCTGTGGAGGGAGCAGAGTGTCAGATGGTGGAGAGACAAATCTTACTGGCGGGTTATGATCTGCTTCTTCGTGCAGAGGAGGAGAGGGGGGGTGAGGGTGAGGGCGGCTGGTGGGGGTCTGAGGTGGAGCGTCTAAAAGCCGACACGCAGAGGAAAATCTCCCTGCTGCTCCGGATCTCCTCGCTCAGCGTCTCCGAACTGGACGGCCTCCGACCGGCAGCAGACAGGCTCTACCCGTCCCTCTCAGAGCCCCCCGGCCCCGCCCACATCCTCCACCCCACAGCCATAGAGACACTCTCCCGCTGTCGACTGAAGGAAAAGAGCGAGAGACCCCCCTGTCCCAAATGCGTCTCCCTCCTGGAGGAGAACCGGCAGCTAAAGGCAACATGGCGTCCCTCAAAGGATGTGATCTCCACATGCTGCCAGACGGAGGAGAGCCGGGACCCAGACTCTGAGGAGATGGAAATCCCTCCTTTAGGAGAGCACAAACTCTCAGAGGAAATGGATGAAGAAGGTGAAGTTTTGAGCTGGAGAGGAAAAGTGAAGGAGCTGGAGGAGCAGCTGTTTGTCTCAGAGGGCAAAACGAGAGAAGAGTTTGAAGAGAAGACGAGGGTTTTGCAGCTGCAGCATGAGGCAGAGATGGAGAAACTGAAGGTGGGTTGAGCAGAGAGGAGCTGTAGCATCTATCGCTCCACAGATGAAAAATACGTTTTTTATTTAGCCGATCCGTTTCAGTTAGTAGGAAACGGGTTAAAACGGATCGTGTGAAATCCTTCCTGCCTGTGGTCATCAATCTGTCCAACGCCTCACTCTGAGAGTCAGACTTAATTATTTACATTATCACCACCACTTATTTTCACCTATATATATATACACATATAGTTATTTATGTATACATTTATCTATATTCTATGTGGAATGTTGTGTACATATATATATATATATATATATACAGTGGGGGAAATAAGTATTTGACCCCTTGCTGATTTTGCAGGTTTGCCCACTTACAAAGAATGCAACGATCTATAACTTTAATCATATGTACATTCTAACAGAGAAAGACAGAATCCCAAAGAAAATTCCAGAAAATCACATCATATGAATTTATAAAAATTGATAAAAAAATAAGCATTCTTTGTGATTCTTTGGGATTCTGTCTTTCGTGGGAATTTATTTGTATATGTGTATTTGCCGTTGTTTTATTTATGGAGCGAGTAACAAAAATAATTTCCCTCTGGGATTATTAAAGTATTTCTGATTCTGATTGATCCCGATGCTTCCAGGTCACATGTGAGCGTGGGCTGACCTCCATGGAGGAGTCCCTCCTGAAGGTGGTGGATGAGCTACAGCGTCTCCACCTACAGGAGCTGGAGTTCCTCCGGGGGGAGAAAGAGCGGCTGCTGGAGGAGGAGGCCGCCGCCACCGCCATCGGTGCGTAACCGCGCAGAGCCCGGGTCAGCGTTTTTCACAGAAACGCTCACCAGACGAACTCCCTCTTCTCTTTTTTTTCAGCTCTGGAAGCCTTCAGGAACGCCCACCGAGTGGAGCTGCAGAGGGAGGTCCAGAGGAGCAGCAGCTATGGGAACGCACAGATGGAGGACGTCCACAGACAACACAGGTAGCCCAGGAACCACCTCCACAGGTGAACCACCTCACAGGTGAACCACCTCACAGGTGAACCACCTCCACAGGTGAACCACCTGCACAGGTGAACCTCCTCCACAGGTGATTCACCTCCACAGGTGAACCACCTCCACAGGTGAACCTCCTCCACAGGTGAACCACCTCCACAGGTGGGCTCTGGAGTCAGGGTGGGAAATGACCGATTTATTGCACGCTTTATTGTCTGGGCGTGAGAAAATAAAAGCTGTCAGCCCGTCGTGCTCTCAGCTCCGTGGGGTCGGACGGGTTGGAAAATTACGTTTTTATATCAAATACATGCTAAATAAACAGGGAATCAACGTGGTTGCACCGCCAAGCGAGAGGAACTGAAAACATTCCACCTGAATTTCACATTGGTTGGATGCAGTTTGGGGTAGATTTGTAGATTATTTTACACATGAAGATTTCTGTTTTGTTTGCAGGGAGGAGCTGGACTCTTTCCAGCGGGAGCTGGATGCTTTATCGCAGCAGTTCTCTCTCAGATGTCTGGAGAACAGGCATCTGGTCCAGGCTCTGGACGCCGAGAGGAAAGCCTTGTGTCAGTGCCAGCTGGAAAACCAGGACCTGAGGACCAGAAACCAGGTGACAGACCCAGTCCAGCCATTCTCTATGGTCCCAATAATCCCCAGTATTTGTCAGAAATCTAAAATCTGGATCCAAAGACTTAGTCTGGGTGCTTTTCCAGTAATATTAATAGAAATCGGGGGATTTGTTTTGGGTTTCTGGTTTTGCCCCCAAGCTCCAAGTCCCACAAACGCTACTTTTTTGTCACATCTGTTCTTAAAAATGTTGCTCCAAATGTTGCTTATTAGTGGCCTCTGCTTGGAAAGGAGAGTGATGCATTTGTTTTTACATTAGAAGCATTAGCTATTGGTGTCACACCCACAAACGGAAAGAAACGATCACAGTGTCACATTCATACGGAGAAATAGGACGATGCTCAGACTGTTTATTGTCTTTTTCTGATCTCTTACTGATGATGTCATTCCACTTCCTGCTGAGGCTTTGAAAGAGGCCCGTTTTTGCAGGAAATGAAGTTGCATTCTAAAAAAATATCCGAAACCCCTAAAAGAGTGACTAAAGCTGGGATGTGAGTCTCTGGGTGAACACATGGAAACCTGAATGTTGGTGTTTTTGTGCCTTCCAGGAGCTGAGCGGCCACCTGGCTGCAGAGATCACCAGACTGTGTTCGCTGGCCAAACGGGATGAGCTGCCCCTCAGTCCGGGAATGGACGCCTTCGAGATGGCGGTGGGTCTGTCCTCTGACACTGGATTCACTACACTGGATTCATTACATCATTCATCACATCAAACATAAACTAATATTTCTAAATGTGTATGATGTGGACTGTGTGCAGCTTTAATCCTCCTCAGTAAACATATCAGGTTAGCTCAGATGTCTAAATGTTTTAGTTGAAATGTGGCCAGTTTAAAGTGAAGCTGTTATTTCAGATCACACTGCGAGTGAAGGAGTCTGAGGTCCAGTGTCTGAAGCAGGAGATCAAGAGTCTGAGGGACGACCTGCAGTCGGCACTACAGGTGAGCAACTCTTTTGTAAAAACAACACGTCAGCTGCTGCTCGATGGTGATTGGTGATGAAACCTGTTCCCGTTTCACGGCAGGACAAGAGGAACGCCTCAAAGAAATACACAGACGTAAACACGGAGCTGAGCAGCGTCAGAGCCAAAGCGGACCGGGAGGCCGAGGAGCTGAGAGAGAACCTGAGGCTGGCTCATCACGCTCTGAGAGAGACTTCTCCATGACTCCTCATTATGTCCTATTTGTGATAAAGACACCTGTTTGTATTTAACAATTACTGCCATTATGCATCCTATCAGTTGTAAGTTATTTGATACCCGTCACAGTTTGTATGACCCTGTTTTAAGGCAAATGAATATTTTAAATTAAAACGTTTTTTTTTTGTTGCAAATAATTCTACTTAACTTATTTTGATATTAACTTTTCTTTTTATCAATTAAAGTGGCTCTATGAAAACCATCTGTCTCCTTCCCTTTGATGAAACTGCGTCAGGTTCCACCTTAAAAAAAAACAAACAAATAAAAGTAAAAAAGATATATATTTTTTTCTTCAGTCTGGTCAGGTGGATTTAACCATATTTAAGGCCGTGTTAATGGAGGCACAAACAGGGTTGCCCCTGGCTGCTGTTGGCCTCAAGTTTCAACACAAACAACTGGCGAATTTCGGGAAGATGACTCATCCGTTAAACAGCATTTTAATCTCTTTAAATTCCAATAACGAAATGTAATTTCACACCAAACTATTTTGTAATAAAAATTTACGTAATTATTCAAATGATTTGTCCCCATTTATAAGATGCACTTTTCAGTTTACCGTTCAAACTCCTGTTTATTGAAAGACTGTAAAATATCTGTGGCTGCCAACAAGCTTTAGAAATTCGGCGTCGTGTGTTTTCTTTTACTTAAATCGCTTAGAAACGGACTAAAACCACCATTGACGGTGGCCACAACCGTTAGGCCCTGACGGTTATCAGCCGTTGCCTAGGAACCGCTCCCAACTGGTATTTACTCTGAAGGCGCGTGCCTCACTTCCGGTGTCGCCGTCGTTTGCTCGGTGTCAATTGACTGTGAATGATAAAGGTGTCCATGATGACAACTTTAAAATACTAACAGCAAGTAGGAGGTTTTGACTCTACCTGTTGGATCTACGTCATATAAAATGCCCGCGTGCGAAACCTTCGTCGAGTGTCACCTCCGTTCACGCGCGGCTAACGTCAGCTAGCTAGCTGCCCAGCTAGCATGAACTCGCGCGGCCGCAGCTTTTGTTTACATCCACCGCGTATGATGATGATGACGATGGGCCTGGAGAGGCGTGTTAGCTAACCCCGCTACCCGAGCCAGTCCCAGGAAAGGTGTCACCCGCCTGCCCGCTCTGTCAGGACCGGGGAGGTCCCCCCTAACCGCCGCCACCTGACGGGTAAGATGACCAACGGCTGTTAACCGTCACGGTAATCATTCCATGGTGGCTCACATCGGGCGTCCATCACTCAGGATCCAAACAGGCCTACCTGTTAGAAACGGGTCTGACAAAACCCATCAGATGGATTATTCAGGCGTTTAAAGGTTTTCTTTAAGCTTCACACGTCTTCTTTTTTGTGTTTAAACTAATCACACTATTCTGTACAAGTTTCTTTAAACACAATGTTTAAGCTTACTGACAAATAAACACCTAAACTGAACCTTAGTATTGATTATTTAACATGTTTGTTAAATAAACATTGCACACATCTAAGTAACCTGTTCCACTCTCCTTCAGGTTCCTCTGGTTTGAATTAACTAAATAAAGTACAACAGACGTGCTGACAAAGGTATAAAGGTTTACATTTAATTGACTCCCGTCCTGATCGTGTAAAAATAGCACCAAAAAATTTCAATGCCATGTTTTAATTAATAACTAAATATACAGCTTATTACTAAAGTTTAGCTGCTTTTTTATTCCAGATAAATAAGTAGTCTTTTTATGTATGTGGTGGGTTTTAGTAGGAAATAAGAAGAAATTTACATTTTAGGATACATTTTGGGTCCTGTGATAGAAAAGAGAGTGGCTTCAATATTTATTGGAAAGTCTGATACCTTTTTATTTGTCAAAATAACATAGATCTTTATTCAGATGTAGTCTAAATGTATCTATAGCTTTAAACAGGGTTAAAATGACTACCTTTTAGTCACATTCAGATTATAATTACATCTTTTTTTGTTTGTTTTAATTTGTTTTATCTCTGCAGTACAGTTCATTGATTGTAGGATAACCATTCCCATTTTCCAACTGTTTTTGGTTTGTGGTTTGTTATCTGATTTGAATTAAAAACCTCCTGATGAATAGCTTGTTGTTGCTGATACTTCACAGATTGAACCAAGAGTTAAAAGTACAAACTTAAAACAAAGTCTCCACGATCTGTGGGGTAGTCCATCTCAGAATACTTTATACATGGACCTGGCCCACAGGGAGCCTTTTTGTCTTTAAGACGTGAAGATATGCAGGAAATCCTCCTTTTTATGAATCGTTGTCGGGAGAAGCGGATAAAACATTTAAGGTTTGTTTAGTAGTTTAAGGTTGGTTTAGAAGTTAGCCTTACACGTGGCTCTCTACACACTTTAGTGAACTAGTTTCAGTGTTTTTTTTGTTTTTTTTATTTTTTTTTAATTCATTTGTTTATTTGATAGGGACAAGTATGTTTCATGAAACATGTCACACACTACAACATTTTGGCTAAGGCTAATTCTCAATGCCTCTCTCCCATCAAAAGTGCCACTTTTGATGGGAGATGAGCATAGACTGTAGGCAAATAAGAAAAAACGCAATGGTTCGCTATGCGAAAAATGGCGCCGGTGAGACGCACGTCGAGGAAGAACGGAATAAGGTAGAAACAAATGTTTTTTTCCTGATGAAAAAAGAGAGTCTACTCTTTCTTTTGGTGTGTTCGGTGTTTACATAGTCATAGCACAAACTATTCTGTGGCTCTTGAAAAATCAGTGAAAATGCTCAAAAAACTCTGGCAGTATGGGACTCTCTGTTCTGAAAATGGCTGCCAGTCAATGAGTTAAAGTATTCTTCTTCTTCTTTTTCTTCTTCTTCTTGAATGTGTCTCCGTGTGCTGCTCAGTGATGGAAGTCTCCCCTCAGGACCCGCCCCTCATGGCCATGGACCTGTCTAAGACCTACGCCCCCCTGACCCCCGAGGTCCTGGACCTGGGAAAGAGGCCGGAGTGGTACCACCGCCCCTCGCCGTTCCGGGCCTCCTCTTCCTCCTTCAGCCCGGCGCCGCCCGCCCCCCCGCCGCCGCCCCCCGACCCGCTGGGCGCCGCCGGCTACATCAACCCCGCGCTGGACCTGGACCTCTATCGCCACGGCAACCACCACCTGTGGCACGCCGCCGGTTTCTACGGCGCCGACCAGGGCGGCGTCCCGGTGCCGGAGAGCAGCGGCGGCGAGGAAGAGGAGGAGGAGGAGGAGGAGGAGAGCGAGGACAGCGGCGAGGACGTCATCTTCCTGGTTTCCGCGGCGAAGGAGCCGCTGCTGTGCGGCGCCTTCCTGCAGGACGGCGTGCGGCGCCTGGAAGATGGCGGCGGCGGCGGCGGCGGCTGCTACCTGCTGAGCTCGCCCAGCCCCGACAGCTCGTACTCGGACGAGTCCTCCGGAAGCTCGCTGGACATCCCGGTGCACCACGCCCGGCCCGTCGTGCTGCTGTCCGACCTCAACGTGTACGGGAACGCCGCCGACTACGGGAACGCCGCCGACTACGGGAACGCCGCCGACTACGGGAACGCCGCTGACTCGGCCGTGGACGTCTCCAGCGACGACAGCGACATCATCGAGATGGCGGCAAACGACGTAGACGACGGCGAGGACGATCCCGACCACGACCGGACGCCGCCATCGGGGATCCGGCGCAGCTCCCGGATCCGGAACGCCACGCCGGAGAGGCCCCGCCTCCGCGGCGCCGCACGCCACAGCCTGAAGCGGCGAGCAAAGAGCGAGGCGGTGGGAATCTACAACGAGAGCTGCGACTCCGAGGACCTGATGGAGTACGCGCTGCAGCTGTCCGGCTCCCAGGAGCCGCGCACGCCGCCGGGCGCCGCCGGGCGCCACGGCAACTCGGAGGAGTCGGAGGCCGACGCCCACCGGGCCCGCCGGGCGCCACGGCAACCGGAGGCGCCTACGGACGCCGCCAGTCCCCAGCAGACTCAGCCCACGCCAGTGGAAAAGGCGAGGAAACCCGAACAGAAACGGAAACCCGATCAGAAACCCGGCGGCGGCGTGCCGGCGCGGCGCCGCCAGAAGCCGGCGGCGGCGAGGAGGAAGAGGCGGCGGCGCCTGAACGCGGGCGCCGGCGCCCCGTTTCCCCCCCGAGAGCCGGAGATCGCGCTGAAATACGCCGCGGAGCGCCGGAGGGAGCGGCGCCCGGCGGCGGCGGGATTCTGCCCGTTCGTTCACGTGGAGCGCCGGATGTGCCGCGTGGTCAACTACCAGGAGGACGCCGCCGCCCCCCCGACGCCGCCGCCGGCGTGCGGGTTCCTGCCCGGATCCTCCTGCTTCCGATTGGGCCGAACCCGCCCCGACGGCGTTCCCAACGGCGTTCCCGACGGCGGCGTTCCCGACAGCGTTCCCGAGGCCCCACGCTGCTGCCTGTGCGGCCAAACGGCGAACGCCACGGGTCTGGGAGACCTCCACGGGCCGTA